TATATTTAATTTTATAATTTATTCTATCAAAAATATTTTTTTTATTTAATAGAAAGTATTATTAAATTATTTATAAATAATTAGATTTTTGTTAGATTATTTTTATTGAAGATTATTATTTAATTTAAAAACATTATAAGTTAAAAAATTTATAAAACAAAAATATTATAAGATAGTTTAATTTTTTATTATAGCAGTATTTATATAAATTTTTTTATTACTATTTTTTTTAGAAAATAAATAAAATATAAATAATTAATTAATATAAAATACTTATATATTAAAATTTTTCTTAAGAATAACATAAATAAAAATAAATAATTTAATATTACTAGATTTGAAAAACATTATTTAATAACTTTTGTATATTTAATATAAATATGTTAACCTATTCTGATTAGAAAAATGATACTAGCAAAAAAATCAACCTAGTTGACTATTTTAACTTTTTTAAAATTAATTTTAACTTATTAATTTTTTTTATTAATTTGTATTAACAAACAAAAAATTTAAATTAGTTAGAATTAATATTTATTATAATAATTACTTGTATATAATATGTTAGAAAAAAAATTTATTCACTGTATTAGTAATAAATAAAATATTTAGATTAGTTAAAATTAATATTTATTAGAAAATTTATTTGTATATAATATGCTGTAAAAAATTTTACTCATTATATTAATAAACAAAATATTTAAGTTAGTTAGAATTAATGTTTATTAAGGTAATTACATGTATATAATATGTTACAAACTTACGAACTGTATTGACAACAAAATATTTGAATTAGTTAGAATTAATATTTGTTAGAATATTTACTTGTATATAATATACTATAAAAACAAAAGAACTTACAACCTGTATTAACAAAAAAATATTAGAATTAATATTTATTAAAGTATTTACTTGTATGTATATTGCTAAAAAAAAAAAGAATTCTATAAAGAACTTACTAGTTGTATTGACAAATTAACATTTTTTAGAATATTTACTTGTATGTGATATGCTGTAAACTAATAGGAACTGATCAAGTCAAACTATCTGAAGACATCAGATCATATTCTGGTTGACCCACAATCCAACCCCAAAAAATAAATATATATTTTTAGTAAAATTTTAAGGCTAACCCGAATCTGATTGAAATAACCTGATCTTTTTAAATTAAATATTTAAATAAATACAATTAAATATTAGTAAAGAACTTTTAGAACAACCTAATATGATCATGAGCAAGAATCAAATTGTTAAGAAAGTGGACACCTGCCCAAATGTATTATAAAAGATAAATAATCAGTTTTATTTATTTATTTATTTATTTATTTATTTGTTACTTTTATAATATTATATTAGTAAAGAATTTTCGGACCAATCCGAAATCACCTGATAAGATCATAAGCAAGAGCCAAAATCGGTAATTAAATCTTATCATCCAAAAAAAGTAAAATCGAAAGACATTATAAGTACAACCTGAATTCGACAAAAATTTTTGGAGGCGCATGCTCAGATCGATCTGATTATTTAAATCACTCAACTAAGAATGATCAGATCAGAATATAGAACATATAAAAATGTTTTATGAAAATCTTTACGTTTTAGCTTTAAAGGAAATGTGACGGATCACAAGTAAATATGTGACCAACAATAAAAGAATAATTTATTTATCCTATACAAAAAGCGATTTTATAAATAAAATTTCGAATTATTAAAATAGGTTTAATTTCTGTGTTTGTCTGAAACTACCAATCAAAATCGAGAATTGAGGGTTCCCATGATGATCTGCAGTCAAGTGTAATCTATGTTATTACACCTGGGTTAAAATTGACGTGGTGTTGAACACCACTAATGCGTTTTAGTAAACTCATTAAATTAAAAGGACAATGAATTTAAACTGAGTTATTCATTAATTTCATCTGTTTTCTACGCACAAATTTATCCTACTTTATGCCAATTTGATTTATTAGCATTAAAAACAATTCTTGTCGCGTCTGATGCTGATATTTCGGGTCGTGATTTGAACTATCAGCACTGCTAAAATCCACATATACTCTTTAATTATCAATTCTAACCTTAAACACTAACTCAACCATTAAAATAAAGCGGGAAAAAATATCCCAAAATTTTTAAAAAATTCAAATAAAATAGGACCAAATTATTTTATGAATATTTACTATTAGATAACTCATAAGCTGTTTATGCGTTTTTCCTGATCTCTAATAAGATGATGTTTCAAAGTTAATGAATAAGTGGCGAATTTTGAAATTAAAAATTTTGAAATTAAAAATTTTAAAATTAAATGAGAATCAAAATTTTAAAATTTGAAAATAAAATGGGAATGTTTGGAGATCTCTATTTAACGAAATAAATAGACATTTCAAATTTATAGGAAAATGAAATAAGGTTAATACATCGAACATTTGGAAATAAATACGTCATATATTTCTGTCAAAATTAAATTCTTGCAAGTTAACTTTAAACCCTCTAATAATATTAATATTGATAAAAAAATATATTTAATAAGATATTGAACTTTGAGAACAATAAGACAAATATATTTTGGCTAAAATTTAAAGGGGTTAAAATGCTTTTTAGAGATTTGTAAAATCAAATATTGTTACTAAAAATAAGATATCGGTAATTTTAATTAAAATATGATGAATATATAATAAACAATCTCTAAAAAAGTAATGAATGAAAATTATTGTTTCAAACAATAAGAGTTGAAACAGAAATTGGAATAGAAACTGGAATTGAAACTGAAATTGAAACTGGAATTGAAACTGGTAGTGACAATTATTATTGGAGTGGGATTTTAAAAATTACACTATCATTCAATATTAATTGGCTTTGAGTGTGGAAACTTATATCCAAGAACAACGCTGGAGTGTTACATCAAGAACCGATCAAAGGTTTAGTCTCCAAGAAAAACTCTGAAAAGTTACATCAAAAACCGATCAAAGGTTTAGTCTCCAAGAAAAACTCTGAAAAGTTACATCAAAAACCGATCAAAGTTTTAGTCACACCCAATAAAAGGCCTGAGACCAAAGAGGTAATAATGGGATAAAGCAAGTTCTTCATAAAATAATTAGAAACTTGACATGCTTTTTTGTACGCTCTCCGCCAAAAGGAGTGCTTCCCTTCTTTAACATTGTAAGATAGAGAGCCTGAAAGAGTGTAAGGTTCCATTATAAAAAGATATGAATAGTTTTATAAAGAAAAAGCTTGCTTGCTTACCCCCTGAATAACTTTGAAGTAGAATATTACGATAATAACTGTGCTCGTTAGGAGACATGTTTGGAGTGATATTATTATACCAATTACCCAACAAAAGATCGTAGGCACGAAGCTTGGAGTTTAAATCAGACATAGCGGAAGTTTTCGATCAACGAAAAGTAGTGTATTTTATGAAATAAGTTTTTTTTTAAATATTGAAAAATTGGTTTTACTATGTTAAATTCTAAATCGGAGAAATCAAACTAGAATTTTATGTAATGAATGTTATTTAAATGCGTTTGTTCAAATGAAAAATCAAACTAGAATTGTTAATGAATGTTATTTAAATGCGTTTGTTCAAATTAGAGCAAAAATGAAATATTCTCATACCTATATATACAGTATATATATCGTTATCAACAAGTCTCGGTTACTTTATGACCCATTATAGGCTATGACTATAGATGCTGGTGAAACTAAATAATACTGTTGAAACTGGTGGCTATCTAAAATATGATTGGTTGCTATATTACATTTCACCATTTATAGTTATGATCTTATGACTATAAACATTTCGGCTACCTAAACTCCGCGAAAATTTTTTATTATGATGGGCAATTTATGACATGTTATGAGTTATATTATGACTGCCTTTGTCATATGAAGTCGGATATGACTTAAAAGGCCAACGCTGACCTATATACACTTAAACATCGTACGATATTTATTTATAAAAATGGTATCATTAAAAAAAGTAATTTATTGGATCTAATAAATTTTCTGTATAACATGGAACAAAAATCAAGACTCTTTCAGGAATCATTTCTTTATCCTTTGAATGCTTAGCACCGGAATATGAAAAGAATTGATCCGGCACAAAATCAAAAGATTTTATATTTCTACTTAATATTTACTCTATTTTATACAGTATAAAATAATTCTCACATGCTGGATACATATTAATGAAGAGTTAACTTTATCATTTTATGTAATATCATTACAATTTACTCTAATTTGGCAAAATGAATCAAAGTTATGTGTAACGTAACACGAACAAATATTTTGCCAAAAATCGCTCTTAACTCAAAAAACAGCAGAAGAAACCCTTTTGCTTTCTAACAGAAAGTTTTCGTTGGACAAATTAACTAATAAAATTATTCTCCTCTAACCCTTAACGAATCAGAATATATCAATCACAAATTAGATTATTTATGTTGGATTGGATACGTATAATCCCTTACGTACCAGCCAGATTTAATATATGCGTAACATTAACGATCTCTGCTGTTTCAGAAGTACCGTAATAGACAAATATTTATCATTGTCATTCTTAGTAAAATCAAACAAAATAAAACAAAGATTTTAGTGTTATCGTTGTGAACAAAGTTTTAATTATGACGTAGGCTACAATTTTTTTGTAGCCGGATGCTAGGTTGCATTACCTTATATGAAAAACGCTATAGTAAAAATTAAAATTACACAAATTTCGTAATATGTATGATTTTTAATGAATTTACTGTCATTAGAATGCAAAGAAGGTTTATTCAATAAAAAAATTTCTTTTATATGTAGTAAACTCCCATTTTTGTACAATATAAATAGTATTTTAAATTCTAATTACGTTTATTATAATATTTCCATTTTTTAAACTTTTCTATTCATTAAGTTTTTTGCTATCGTTTAGGCATTGTCTGGTGAACTATAAATTTAGAAATCCAATGACAGATTTTTCCTTACAATATTTTCTGTTATCTAAATACTAAGAGAAGCGCTTGATTTAATCTGAAATGGACTTAATAGCAGAACTGGATGCGAATCAACGTTTATTTGAAAATGGTAAAATTAATGAGGATGAATATAATAAACGTCGAAAGTCAATATTTGATAGGTCTGTTGGGTCAACTGAATCTAATAATTCTGACTCCAATGGTAAGATTCAAAAAAAAAATATATAATAAAGATATTATTTAACGATATGCTAATTATTTAAGAACTGATATAATAGTATTTAGTAAACCAAAGAATACGAATTTATATGAAACACTTCAATTAAATCACAATGCAACAGAAGCAGAAATTAGATCAAATTATAGAAGGCTTGCTTCTAAATATCATCCAGATAAGAATGGCGGCATCGAATTAGAAGAGGTACTCGCCTAAATATTTTTTAAAAAATTCACCTACATTCACTAATTCAATATAATTCAATATTATTTGCAGTGGAACAAGCTTTCAAATGCATACCAAATCCTCTCGGATACAAACAGTCGTTATCTTTACGATAATTTTGGAACAGTAAGCAATTGTAAGACTTATAACTTATTTTACTTTAATAATTTTTTATATATTGTATGTATTGTATGTTTCCTAATTATATTTACTTTTAGCCTTAGAAAATAAAACATCACTCAATCACTATGTTGGAGGTGATGCATGGCAACCTTATATTGGTAACTTGGAAATTGGTCTTTGGATGTTTTCAATTATGGACCATGAAAATTCTCCAGAAATGAAACATATGAATACGCCTGAACAAAAAGAATATCGTCACATAGTTCGTGTATCTAACATCGCCCATTACCTACAAGACAAACTTACTCAATTTCCAAAGCAAGCTAATTCTTCAGAATTTGAATCATATGTAGAAAGTCTTCGTAAAGAAGCTCTAAAACTTTCTGTAGAACCTAATGGCAAATTGTTACTATCTTTTTTGGGTGACATTTACGTAACCAAAGCTCAAACATACTTAAATAAGTTTTCTGTGTCAAGCATTAAGTATTCTAGCCTTTTTAACAATCTTAGATTTATGACGGGTATGGTCTCTGGATTTTTTGCTGCTAAAAGTAAAGATAAGATGAATCAGGATGAGGTAGAAATTTTAATGTTCTTTTTATTAAAACCCAAAACATTACTTAATATATTTTTTAAAAAAAATCATTTGCGTAGATTAACAAAGTAATTTGGCAACTCTCTCAGTCGGAAATTTCTTCTATAGCTTGTGAATCCTGTGACAAAATTCTATATGATAAAATCCATAATGATTTAGATATAAAATCTAACTTTGCTAAGTCTTTACTTTTTTTGGGAAATGTGTGGTTGGAAGTAAGCAAACAATAAAGTATGCAATCTCAAAATTTTAATGCAGTCAATTAGTTTTGTAAAACCTAACACTGGCGAAAATAAAATAAAAATTTATGTATAAATTTTATTTTATATTTAGATAAATAAAAAATCGAAAAGTGTGTATGCCTGTAAAGATCCTTAAAATAATCAAATATTAGGTGGCCTTGTTCAGGTTGAAAAATCTTTAATATATAATAGATTTTAAAATTTTGGTTCGTGGATCACTTTGAAATTCACATGAGAACCAATTTATTAATTTTGCTCGATCACAATTCAAATTTAATTTAATTGCTCATACCACTAGATATACAAATATAATTAATAGCATTAACTATACAACTACGTCTCATATATATACTTGCTGGCAAAACACAGCAAATCTCAAAAACAACTTGCTTTATAAAAAATTAAATCAAAATAATTTTGATATTTTATGAATATATTATATATAGTAATAAGAATATATATTATTTGTTTAAATAAAGATTATTAATAAAGTTTTTTGAGATATTAATTTGGGCCTAAGTTTGGGATTCGGGTACAGACAAACCCAAACTATAGTAGTTCGGGATTTGGACGGCATATATACTCATATATTGCAATATCTCACATTGAATCCGATTTCATACCGGAAATAGTGAAGAAAGAGAATTGTTTTATCTTTGTTTGTGTTCCCTTTTTTTCCATTATTCTCTCTTTGTCTTTTGCTCCAATAATGCGATAATAGCAGTCACAATTATCAACCTGCTTGGCTTTATTTGCCATAAGATCATACAGGTGTAAAATATTAAATACATCATCTAACATGGTTGCTTAGGGGAAATTTAATTGAGTACTCCTTAACTTGCCCGATATCATAATGAGAATTGACAGGTCTTTGCACTGTTATACGGCCGTAGACCTTCGATTTGGTAATAAGTCATTACTATCTTTGGTCCACTAAGATGACCAAAATCATCGTCAGCGTACTTTGTTTAAACATAGACACTTAAATAAACCTGATTTATTTCGGGTTTTTCGGGCACTACGAGGCTCTGTGACAGTAAATAGTGCAAGTTTGAATTGTTAATCGCTGAAAAAGAAAACCGATATTTGTTATTTATTAAAATTGGTAATAGTTATAACAAACATAGTCACTTATCTGAAACCAATGAAAACACATTGTTGTCTTCTCTCTCTATTTTGCATTTTGGTGGGTGGTGTAAACGTCGAATTTGCCCCACCCGGCAATGATTAGCAATCGGCGTAGTAGAGTAGTTAAAATTTTACAAATTTTGCAAATTAAATAAATTAGTAAATTAGGTGGATTTTAAAAATAGCATAGGTCAACAAAATCTAGAAAGAATTAGATAAATTATATAATTTCTTCATATGTAATTAAAAGTATATAATATATTGATTTTACTTTCAATAAAGAATAACTCTTAAAATTCTAAAAAACCTTCAAAATAAAAGTATATTTTGCTAAATTACAAGTTACCTTAAATTGAATAACTATTAAATTCAGAAAATTCAGGAGTTGTTGGGGTAGTTGTTTTTTTTTTTTGCCATAGCTAGGATACTAGATAAATGGTGATGACGTAACTATACAAATATAAGAATTTTTAGCACTGTATAGCCATCAATAACATGTGCAGTATACAAGTTACTCTCGTTATAATAAAGTGATCCGTTCCATTAATAAAATTTTTAAAAAAATTCATTGTATCGAGAGTTTATTAGTAAGTTCACTATATTGAGAGAATTTGGTATAAACTGGCTTTGAGCTTAACTTCACTATATCGAGAGTTCACTATATCGAGAGTTCACTATAAAGAGTTCGCTATAACGAGGTTGAGTTGTACTAGAAAATCAGCAAATTAAGCATCGTTACACTGATTGCAGATCATCACAGGAACCTTTAATTCCAGAATTCTCGGTTTTTTTTTTTATCTTGCATTCAAATTTTAAAAGGAAATATGGCGGATAATGAGTAAAAAGAAAAATGTCATATGTCCAAACATAATTATAAACGGAAATGAACGGACGAAAAAAATCAAGTCCACAGCTTATAAAAACGTCACGCACCGATTTACGTCCTGAGTTAGATTAAAACGTTTCACCAAATTTTATATGGGTTATATATCGGAGGCAAAATCCGATTTCTTTACTGTTAGACTAAATAAAATAATCCTTTCCAAATGATAACTTTACCAACTGAATGTCTTTTAGAAATATTTAATAATTTTCGAACTAATTATAAAACCTTATTTTCATGCCTTCTTGTAAACCGTCATTGGTGCAGAATTATTATACCAATATTATGGAGTGAACCTACAAATTATTTTTATGATAAAGGACTTATAAAAATATATCTTTTGGCATTAATTACAGAGGAGAAAATTTTATTAAACTCCTTTATTTTTCCCTTTAGAATTAATCTTCCAAATTATCCAAAGCCATTATTTGAGTATGAAAGTTATACTACATCTGTTGGTTATTATTTAGATGATGGAGTCAGAGATTGGCTTAGTAATCAAGGATATAATGTAACCTATCTTAAAACAGATAAATATTTAAATGCTATCAAATGCTCTTTAATTGCAATGTTTATGCGAGCAAGTAAAAATCTTAAATATTTAACACTTAAAAATACTATAAATGCAATAACTTTACGTGTAGCAGATGAACTTTGTAATAACAACACATTAATTTCTTTGGATCTTAGTTATAATAATCTTGGACCAGAAGGAGGAAAAGCATTAGCTAATGCACTTTGCAAGAACACCACGCTGATTTCTTTGGATCTTCGAAATAATAATCTTGGACCAGAGGGTGGGAAAGCATTAGCTGAGGGGCTTTGTAAGAACACCGTACTGACTACTTTAGATCTTAATGAGAATGATCTTGGATTAAAAGGAGGAATAGCATTAGCAGATGCCCTTTGCAAAAACACTACACTGACCACTTTATATATTCATTCAAATTATTTTGGTCCAAAGGTAGGAATAGCATTAGCTGATGCACTTTGTAAGAACACTACGCTGATTTATTTAGTTCTTAGTTTGAATCATCTTGGATTTGAAGGTGGGAAAGCATTAGCAAATACACTCTGCAGAAATACTACATTAACTTCTTTGTATCTAATTGATAATAATCTCGGGTCAGGAGTAATTGCATTAGCAGATGCAATTTGTGAGAATACTACACTAAAAGTTTTGAATCTTCAACGAAATGATCTTAAATTAAGTGAAGCAAAAGCATTAGCAAATGCACTTTACAAGAATAATACACTAACTTCTTTGGATATTAGTTATAATAATCTTGAATCAGAAGGAGGAAAAGCATTAGCAAATGCACTTTATAAAAATAATACATTAACCTCTTTATATATAATTGAAACTAATATTGGATTAGAAGGAAAAAAAGCATTTGAAGATGTACTTATCAAAAATGATACTTTGAAAACATTATTTATTTATTATGGTTATAATGAAATCAAATAATTTAATTATTAATATATGTCAATAAATTATATACATATATATAGTTAAATTTTAATTTATAGTTACTAGATTATAAAATAAAAATTTGACAATTAAAAAAGTTGACATTATATAAATATGGTTTGTAATAGTTAAACTTACAAAATAACATTGCTTATCCGGCACCTTACTATGATTGTACCAACAGAATAACTCGACTTCTTTTGATGATTGCGTCATCATCATATAACGGAGTTATTTGATCATGATGCAATCATCAAAAGAAGCCGAGTTATTCTGTTGGTACAATCATAGTAAAATGCCGGATAATACCGTTATGGAATGATACTCAGTTAATAACTTGTTTATCTGGCAGTGAATTTAATATGAGTCATTTCAGGACCCTTTATGGCCCAAAAGCTGATATATTAAATTTTACAGCCAGATAATGAAATTAATTTTCAAATAATTTTCATTATTGGCTGCTTGATATCCAATAACTATATTATAATTAGTGATATTTTTGATTTTTTTGTTATTATATTGTTAGTATCTTTTTAAACTATAAAAAAATTGAACAGATTTACATAACGGCGCATTTGTAACCTACCCCAAAATATGAAAAATTTTGATCCCTGATAGTGAGTCAATTGAATTGACATCATATATACATACTGTATAAGTTATAAATCAAGTTATAAATCAAATTTATATATCTTGATTTGAATTATGTATCTTATGTAATAAAATATATATGTATAAGAATAGTAACAAATAATTTTAAACTATGATTATATAAAAAAATAATAATGAAAGAAATTGGTAAAGAAAATTCAAATTATTCAATAGATTATACTATTAAATAGAAGTCACCATGAAGTTTTCAATATTACATTGTCAAAGAAGATGTTTATCTATCTAAATCTTATCTTGCTTACACTAGAATACCAAATCAATATCTGGTGTCTGATAATTATATGGTAAAAACAACTTATAAAAAAAGAAATAGCAATTATTTGTTTTATTAATTATTTTAATAAGAAACTTTAGTAAAAAATTCAATTTTAATTAAATAAAAATGAATATATATATTTAAATTATTTATCAACAGATGCAGTAAATGCATACCTAAAAGTAGGGTTCTGCATGGGCTGGACTATCCATGGTGCATCCATGGACTGGCCCAATATGGGCTGGGCTTGGATACTAAAATGGATTTTGTGTTGGATCTGGTCACAAAGATTTGGATCCATGTAAAATTGGGCCAGACTCAAAATACTCGGGTCCAGATCCAAAAGCCCATGAATAGTCCATATTTTGACCAAAATTATATAATGCATCAAAATTGTAAATCTGAACCTAATTTGATAAATAAGTATAAAAAGGATATTTTTGAAAATCTTTCGAACCTTTTTTTAAACTTTATTAATTGTCTGGCAAGATGATTATTATTATTAGCTAAAAAGGTGTAAGTTCTTACTAGTAAGAGTGCAAATAGTTTTTACTACTTTGAACTTTCAATTTAAATTT